AATGCATGAAGGAAAGCTCAGTTATTTCCGCCTTGCAGGGCCTCCGACTCTTCCAACTTCTTCGCTTCGTCTCTGAACCTTTTAATTTCCTTCATCTCCTTGTTTTTGGCCAGCTCCTGCTTAATATTCTCCACAAAGCCAGAGATAAAAACCTTTCCGGCCTCCGGAGGAGGAACATCGAGCCTAAGAGAAGGTTTCTGGCGTTAACAGTGTAAAGCAACTTCCTTTTCAAATTGGCCCTTTTATTCAGAACCACGAGGTCCGGAATCTTACTTTTTTCTAAAGGGAAGGGCCGTTAGCTCAATTGCAGAGCGTCCTGTCTTGGCATGCAACAGGTCCTAGGTCCAGTATTCAGGTAGGAAAGATCCATTGTTTAAAAACCTAGGGAGATGCTGCCAGAGTGATTTATTTATTGCTCTTCAGGGGACGGTCCCTACCTCCCTCCCTCCCTCCCTCCTCCCAGCTGGCAGTTCTTCCTCTGCAATGCCTAACTCTCAGCAACTGCCTCCACTCCAATTATGCACAAAAAGGTTTGATTTGCAAAGCATACCTGGTACAGCTTCCAATGCAGGTCTGCCAGTTTGATGCACGAGGAAAGCATGGCGCAAGGGGACTGAGCTTCGTCCGGATACAAGCCGTACATTTAAAAGGCATTTCTAGGAGGAGAAAGATAAGGTGCTCTTGTTTAATAGTGAAAAGCCCCCTCTCTCTGCTTGCAAACAGTTATAGCAAAGAGCCAAGCCTCCAAACCTCATTACCATCACCTTTCCCTAACAGAAACAATCAGCCACATGAGACCCAGTAGTTAATTTTTTAAAGGAATAGGTGATGAGGCTGTATTTATCTGCACCTCCAATAAAACAACAACAAACAATAATAATTTATTACTTATACCCTGCACATCTGGCTGGGTTTCCCCAGCCACTCTGGGCGGCTTCCAACAAGAGATTAAAAATACATTTTAAAATATTAGGGGGGAGAGAGTTCTTCATAGAATCATAGAATTGGAAGAGACCACAAGGGGCCATCGAGTCCAACCCCCTGCCAAGCAGGAAACACCATCAGAGCACTCCTGACATATGGTTGTCAAGCCTCTGCTTAAAGACCTCCAAAGAAGGAGACTCCATCTTTAACACTGGATTGGTGCGTGTGCTTTTTAAAATTAATTTTAAAAAGGCACTCTGAACTCGCTCGACGGCATGCTCTTCCTAATGTGTTTTAAATAATACAGACATGTATTACTTTTTAATATGGAAGTATTCGGCAAAAGGAATGAGAGGTCCTCTGCACATGGATGGGAGTACTCTGCACGTGCTCAGGGGCTATGGGGTTGCGAGTCAAACGAGCACGCGGGACGAAGCAGCAAGGGGGAGCCCCTCTGCACATGTGCAGGGGCACCACCTCCTTCCTCGCGGTGCCCGAGCCTCTCTCTCCTCGCCAGCAGGAACGGTAGGGCCCTCTGCACGTGCTCAGAGGCACGGTTTCCTTCGAAATGGGGTCTGTTCGTTCCTCAGCAGCACCGTCTCGATGGAAGGATGGGAGGCCCTCTGCACGTGCTCAGGGGCTATGGGGTTGTGAGTCAAACAAGCATGCGGGATGAAGCAGCAAGGAGCATAGCTGTCAACGTTTCCCCCTTTTTTAAGGGAAATCTCCTTATTCCGAATAGGATTCCTCGCAAGAAAAGGGAAAAGTTGACAGGGGCACCACCTCCTTCCTTGCAGTGCCTGAGTCTCTCTCTCCTCAGCAGCAGGAACTGGTAGGGCCCTCTGCACGTGCTCAGGGGCTATGGGGCTGTGAGTCAAAGGAGTAGGGGAGCCCCTCTGCACATGCGCAGGGGCACCACCTCCCTCCTCGCGGTACTGAGCCTCTCTCTCCTCGGAAGCAGGAACGCTAGGTCCCTCTGCACATGCTCAGGGGTTATAGGGTTGTGAGTCAAACAAGCAGGGGATCCCCTCTGCACATGCGCAGGGGCACCACCTCCCTCCTCGCGGTACCTGAGCCTCTCTCTCCTCGGCAGCAGGAACGGTAGGGCGCTCTGCACGTGCTCAGGGGCTATGGGGCTGTGAGTCAAAGGAGTAGGGGAGCCCCTCTGCACATGCGCAGGGGACCACCTCCTTCCTCGCTGTGCCCGAACCTCTCTCTCCTCGGCAGCAGGAACGGTAGGGAGCTCTGCACGTGCTCAGGGGCTATGGGGCTGTGCGTCAAACGAGCAGGGGATCCCCTCTGCACATGCGCAGGGGCACCACCTCCCTCCTCGCGGTACCTGAGCCTCTCTCTCCTCGGCAGCAGGAACGGTAGGGCGCTCTGCACGTGCTCAGGGGCTATGGGGCTGTGAGTCAAAGGAGTAGGGGAGCCCCTCTGCACATGCGCAGGGGACCACCTCCTTCCTCGCTGTGCCCGAACCTCTCTCTCCTCGGCAGCAGGAACGGTAGGGAGCTCTGCACGTGCTCAGGGGCTATGGGGCTGTGCGTCAAACGAGCAGGGGATCCCCTCTGCACATGCGCAGGGGCACCACCTCCCTCCTCGCGGTGACCCAGCCTCTTTCTCCTCGGAAGCAGGAACGCTAGGTCCCTCTGCACATGCTCAGGGGCTATGGGGCTGTGAGTCAAAGGAGTAGGGGAGCCCCTCTGCACATGCGCAGGGGCACCACCTCCCTCCTCTCTCTCCTCGGCAGCAGGAACGGTAGGGCGCTCTGCACGTGCTCAGGGGCACGCTTTCCTTCGAAATGGGGCTCGAGTCCAATTACCAGGCCTTGGCTCGGGGAGGTTGGGGGAAGGAACTTGGGGAGCCCCCCTCCCAAGACACACACGAACGCGCCCCGTCCCCCCTTACCCGGCAACCCCACAGCGCGGCCGCCGCCATCTTTCCGAGAGGGAGGGAAGGAGCGGCTCGACCTTCCCGCCGGCGCCTCCCGATGACGTCAGGGGTTGAAAGCGCCGGGCGTCGCCGAGAGCAGCCGGCGCGCAGGCGCGGAGAGGCGCTCGCGCCCCGTTCGTTGTCCCGGTTGCCGCGGCAACGGTCATCCGGGTCTTTCTCGAAACGCTCTTCATTGGCTGCCTTGAGGAGCGTTTACACCCCCCCCCGCCTGAAGCTCACGAGGGGGTCACAGGATGTGACGTCATCTCAGAAGGTTCGCTTTGGACATGCTCAGGAGTTATATGCTTATTCTATTAATTCTATTAATGTTATTATATTATATTATATTACATTATATTATATTACATTATATATTATAGTTATATTATATTGTTTATTATATTATAGTTATATTGTTTATTATATAATTTTATTATTATATAATATGCATATTATATATATTTTATATATTATATTATATAATTACTTTATTATAATTATATAACTATTATTGTTGTTGTTGTTTAATATTAATTGTACTATATTATATAAGATTATATTAATTCTATTATTGCCGTAAGAGAATCAGGGTCAGAGAGGGGAATAAAGGGAAATGACCTTACCCATATCAAATATCAAATATATAGTATTCTGCTTTAATATCCTACAAGAATATAAACTGTACCTTGGACTTCAAGAAACGTATCCTCTGAATGTGCCGTTTACTAAGAATGTATCTTTTTTTCGTATCTTTCTCATTTGACTTCAAGAATATATCTAAATGTATCTTTGGTCTAAATGGTGTATTTTTTTCCTAAATGTACTCCCCCCCCCACTCCCATTGGCTAGAGAATGTACCTTAATGTAACAATCACCTGTTTCAAATGTGCTACTGGATTACTTGAACACTAAAATACAATAACCCATTAAACATTAAAAGTTTCCCTAAACAGGGCTGCCTTCAGATGTCTTCAAAAAGTCTGGTAGTTGTTTTTCTCTTTGACATCTGATGGGAGGGCGTTCCACAGGGTGGGTGCCACCACCGAGAAGGCCCTTTGCCTGGTTCCCTGTAACTTGGCTTCTTGCAGGGAGGGAACCGCCAGAAGGCCCTTGGAGCTGGACCTCAGCGTCCGGGCAGAATGATGGGGGTGGAGACACTCCTTCAGGTATACTGGACCGAGGGTGTTTAGGGCTTTCAAGGTCAGCACCAACACTCGAATTATGCTCGGAAATGTACTGGGAGTCAATGCAGATCTCTCAGGACCGGTGTTGTGTGGTCCCGGCGGCCGCTCCCAGTCCCCAGTCTAGCTGCCGCATTCTGGATTAGTTGCAGTTTCCGGGTCACCTTCAAAGGTAGCCCCACGTGGAGCGCATTGCAGTAGTCCAAGCAGGAGATAACCAGAGCATGCACCACTCTGTCAAGACAGTTTGCGGGCAGGGAGGGTCTCATCCTGCGTACCAGATAGAGCTGATAAACAGTGGGGTGGCAAAATGCAACTCGACGCTGCCTATGGAACCAAGCAGGGTTGAGCTGCATTGCGATGCGTCCCCAGCGATCAGCCAGGCTCTCCCCACCCGCCCCGCCCCAGGGGGGACCCCGCCTTGCCTCATGAGCAGCAGCACATCTTCGAGTGCAGCCACACACACACAGACACACACACTGAGGGGGGTGACATTCGGCACGACTCCCAAGCCTACCCCAAGCCATTGCACTTGTCACCTGCACTTGTAACCTGAGGTCCTTCTCTATGTCCCCCATCGTAGTTTTGGAGGGTGGCAACAAGAGAAAGGGCCTTTTCTGCGGTGGCTCCCCGATTGTGGAATAGTCTCCCCAGAGGTTCGTCTTGGCACCATCATTACATGTCTCTTTACTGAGGCCTTTGGCCATTAAATAATCTATGGCCTGTGAAAGTGGGGCGGGGGGGGGGGGAGAGGATTGTTTATTACTATGAGCTATTTTACTATTAGACTGTATGATATTCACTATTGCTATCCAGTTATTCCCAGACACCATCCTGGCTCCCGGGCATCACCAGTGGCCGACAGGCAGGTGCAAAATGTGCCTGGCTAATTTCAAATACTGGCATGAAGCTTCCGCCCACAAATCAGTGTTGCAAAATGCACAGTGACAACCAACACAGGACTCTTTGTCAGCCACAAGAGAACACTTTTAATATAGACATCGACTTCATACAAGACATGTGGTTTTGGTTTGACTCATGGTCTAGTTGTAGATTTTCCAAGAAAAAAACCTAAAAAAAACAACTTTTCATAAATTCACAGAAGTGAATCAACATGACTTGCTTTCTTCAGAGGGTCTTTCCGAAGAGTTTCTCTAACCAGGGAAAGGGTGGGGAACAAGACTTGATAGCCACCCGCCACTGGCGTTTATTTACCAAAGACATAGTGTAATGCGACGCCACTACATAGAACCAGATTGTGCATGTTAAAACACAGTTTCAATTCAAAAACAAAATCCCAGGACAGTAAAATGGGGAAAAAACAAATCTTATTTTAAAAAAGGAACTAAAATTACTCCAAAAAGCAACTGAGTTGTCTTACCATTTTCACAAATTTTTTAAAAAATCCCAACAAGAAAGTACAATCCCCAAGCGCTCTCCCTTCGTATTTAAAAAGGCCCCTGCCAAAAAACAAAACTTAGGCATTCCTGTCAATCCGCACGTCTATCTCCCTGCCACGAAGCTGGATCCCGTTCATCATACGGCAGGCTCTTTCGGCGACTTCCGGGGATTCAAATCGGACCACGCCGCACCCTTTGGATTTGCCGTTCTCCATTTTGATGTCTGCATACATGACGTGGCCTGTGGGAGAAGAAGACTCGCTTTAGCCCAGGTCTGTCTTCCTTGCCCAAACCTTGAGCACTGCATTCCTTATCAGCTATAGCTCCGCCTTATCCATTTCTGTACTGCTTCCATGTGATTTTGATAGCGGCTCTCGTAGGAACGCCTTGGTTTTAAGTCTGAGAGTTCGACTGGAAGTCTGGAGCAGCAGAGAGATGCTGGCACGTAGGCCACTCTGCCTTTTATTAGGTAAAGGTACAGGGGCCCCTGACCATTAGGCCCAGTCGTGGCCGACTCTGGGGTTGCGGCGCTCATCTCGCTTTATTGGCCGAGGGAGCCGGGTCATGTGGCCAGCAGGACTAAGCCGCTTCTGGCGAAACAGAGCAGCGCACGGAAACGCCGTTTACCTTCCCGCCGGAGCGATACCTATTGATCCACTTGCACTTTGACGTGCTTTCGAACTGCTAGGTTGGCAGGAGCTGGGACTGAGCAACGGGAGCTCACCCCGTTGCGGGGATTCAAACCGCCAACCTTCTGATCGGCAAACCCTAGGCTCTATGATTTAACCCACAGCGCCACCCGCGTCCTTTCTGCCTTTTATTAGTGGTACCCAAATGATTTCCTCAAACGCTCAAGCTGTACGACTGCAAACCTGAAGCTCAGTGTCATAGCACCTAATGTCTCAGGTCTGATCTCCAGGTAGGGCTCAGAAAGACTTCATGCCTCCAAACCCCAGAGAGCCACTGCCAGTCGTTGAAGACCGGGGATTCCCAAACTTGGGTCTCTAGCTGTTTCTGAACTACAATTCCCAACAGGCCTGACCACGGATTCTGCTAGCTACGGATCAGGGGTGTTGTAGTCTCAATGACAGCTGGAGACCCAAGTTTGAGAAACCCTGATGTAGACAATATTGAGGCGGGTGGACCTGTGCAAGGCAGCTTCCTATGTGGACAAACTTAATCAGCAACCCCCATGCAGAGTGAAGTTTTTAGCAAAGGTCTAACCCATGGGTAGGCAAACTAAGGCCCGGGGGCCGGATCCGGCCCAATCGCCTTCTAAATCCGGCCCGCGGACGGTCTGGGAATCAGCGTGCTTTTACATGAATGCAATGTGTCTTTTTATTTAAAATGCATCTCTGGGTTATTTGTGGGGCATAGGAATTCGTTCATTTCCCCCCCCCCAAATAGCCCCCCACAAGGTGTGAGGGACAGTGGACCAGCCCCCTGCTGAAAAAGTTTGCTGACCCCTGGTGTAACCCTTCGCCCCCTTGAAATGAGAGCGCCAAGCCTTCAATGATGGGGGAAGGAAGTGGCAAATCCCTCTGGCCCAATCAATGCTATATCATACGGTAGTAAGGAGGAGATTTACCCTCACTCAGGGGCGTCAGGCAACAATCCTGGCCCCAGACGGCCCCTCCTGGCCCCCAGGTGCCTTCTCCCAACAAGAGAACAGGCATCGCTACGGGGTTAAGCCTGACCACTGCATTTTCCCCACCTGCTCCATCAGAAGAGCCAGCCAAAAGGAAGAGGACTGTCCATCTTCCGGCTGACTGGATGCGTTTCCCGATTTATTAAGTTCAAAATCCACAAAGGATCTCTTCTCAGAGGACAATGCATCTGCCACACAGCCTGCTCTGGGAATTCAGAAGGAAGGAACTGGAGGGGTCTCCCTCCCACTTGGGAGAGGGGCATGCCCGATCTAATCCTGCCTAATAGAGCAATATGGGTCGGACAACCCAGCCCACCCAACGATCCTCTCCCCCCCGCAAGAGAATACACATAGCTCTCCCGTGTCCTTTGGGAATTTCCGGGTCGCTCCTGAATTGAGCTACTCACCACACTCATTGAACTTGTCTTTCAGCATTTTCCACGTGAAATCAAAAGGAAGCTAGGAAGGGAGAGAGAAAGGAGGAGTCAGAATCATCATCATTTAGAAGACATCTGAAGGAAGCCCCGTTTAGGGAAGCTTTTAGTGTTTGATGTATTGCAGTATTTTAATATTTTTTTTGGAAGCCGCCCAGAGTGGCTGGGGAAGCCCAGCCAGATGGGCGGGGTATAAATAATATATTATTATTATTATTATTATTATTATTATTATCATCATCATCATCATCATCATCATCATCACCATCACCACCACAGGGGCCCCCAACCACCACCCATGGGGGGGGGGAGCACCACCACCCACCAGAAGTCAGGCACCTCCCCCTTGCTAGGAAACAAAATGCTTTCCTACCACGATGCAGAAACTTTCCGCCCAAGACCTGTGCTACATCCAGCCACACAACCTATTAAGGTTTGAGCCTATGAAAACTTCCCAGCATGTTCAGTTCTGATTTCTCACAAGGGGACGGGGTGGGATGTGGGGTACTGGGCAGAGGGAGGAAAATCTACTTGGAGCACCAGCCCAAAGCCATCTTTCCCCCACTCACATTTCTCACAAAAATCTGGCAAGCCTTCCTGGCTACACCGGCGGCAGCGGCAGGTCCTCCGGTCCCGAGGGCGCCGGCGAAGCTTCCGGCGGCAAAGTTCCCCCGGTCCATCTCCATCGTCCTATCGAAGGTGCTCCCCATGGCGAGCCCCATCCTGTCTAGCCCTGCCCCCATGCCCTGCCCCATGGCGGGCCCCATCCTGTCCATGTTGGTGGCGGCAGCCCCCATGCGGTCGAGACCCATCCTGTCCATGTTGCTGGCCGCGATGCGGTCGAGACCTATCCTGTCGATGGAGGCCGCCCCGAGGCGGTCCAGCCCCGCGGGCATCCTGTCCATCACGGGGCCCATCCCTGCGGGCCCCATCCCCGCAGGGACCATGCGGTCCATGCCCAGGCCCATCCTTTCTATGCCAGAGCTCATGCGGTCCACGCCGGCGCCCATGCGGTCCATGGTCGTGCCGACGCGGTCCATGGCGGAGCCCATGCGGTCCATGCCGAACCCTAGCCCTGTGCCCATCCTCTCCATCCCCGTCCCCATGCGGTCCATCCCAGAGCCCATGCGGTCCATGTTGGACGCCAAGTGGTCTATCCCCAGGGGAGCCATCCGGTCCATGCCGGAGCCCATCCTATCCACACCGGAGCCCATGCGGTCCAGCACCAGCCCCATCCTGTCCATCTCGGAGCCCACTCTTTCTATGCCATGCCCCATGCCCGAGGGGAGCCTATCAATGCCCGTGGCCATGCGGTCGAGGCCGGGGGCCATGCGGTCAATCGTGGGGATGCTGGCCCCGCCTCCGCCGCCACCTGCGAAAGAGAAAGATGAGAGGAGACACATCAGCAAGGGAAAGGCAGGAGCGAGCCCTCTAGAAAGGGGCAACTCAAGAGACAGACGCAAGCACAATTAGTGTACAGTGGCGAAGCAGAGCAGCGCACAGAAATGCTGTTTACCTTCCCTCCAGAGTGGTACCTATTTATCTACTTGCACTTTGACGTGCTTTCAAACTGCTAGGTTGGCAGGAACAGGGACCGAGCAACGGGAGCTCACCCCGTCATTGTGGGGATTCGAACTGCCGACCTTCTGATCGGCAAGTCCTAGGCTCTGTGGTTTAACCCACAGCGCCACCCGTGTCCCTTTCGCCAGAGGTATGGATGGGCATCTATGTCCCGGTTTCTGGTTACAGTGGTGCCTCACAAGACGAAAATAATCCGTTCTGTGATTCTCTTCGCCTAGCGGTTTTTTCGTCTTGCGAAGCAAGCCCATTGAAGGATTAGTGGATTAGCGCAATTAGCGCTATCGGATCAGCTGATAAGCAGCTTAGCAGCTTAGAAAAAGGGGGGGAGGGGGAAAAACCAGCAGGAACTCGCAAGACATTGTCGTCTTGCGAAGCAAGCCCATAGGAGATTCGTTTTGCGAAGCACCTCCAAAACGGAAAACTCTTTCGTCTAGCGAGTTTTCCGTCTTGCGAGGCACCACTGTATTGGCGTTAATTGCATTAACAGGTTCACCCACAGCCGCTTCTCCCAGCAGGTTACGGACTCTGAGGTTTGCCCCCTTCCAGGCCCGCAGCCCCGTTCTTTAAATTTTTTATTTTACAATTTAGAATATTCATTTTAACAACCTTAAAGGTATCGGTGACTTTCCTTCTCCTCTTATCAAGTGTACACAATCCCCCCCCGTGTATTCAATCAACATTTTCCAATCTTCTTTAAACACATTCTTCTTGTTCTCTTATTCTATATGTTAGGTCCGCAAGCTGAGCATATTCCATCAGTTTAAGTTGCCATTCTTCTTTAGATGGGACCTCGCTTGTTTTCCATTTTTCATCATCATCATCATCAAACCTTTATTGGCATCACTTACAAACATTCTGAATAAATAGGCCAATGCGATCTCATCGCCATTTCAACAGCACAGTCATTTCCCAAAGGGAAGAAGAGGCAAGCAATCTATTTCACCTCTGTTTTTGGGCTAACAAAACACATGCCACAGTAGTGGCATACACAAATACCCTTTTTTGACACCTGGGGATTTCCGTCTGAATTATCCCCAGCAAAAAGGACTCCGCTGCCCCATTTCTCTGCCAGGCTCCACACACTGGTGTGCTCTATCGCAATCTCACATTTTTGAACGAAACTTCAGAATACGGTGGGGTGTGCACTGTGGAGGGTGGCTGGGCAGGGAACTGACCTGGTTATCCTAATCACCGTCTCCTTTCTCTTTGGTTGTCAGGCGAGTAAAGACAAGAAGAAGAAAACGCTCTTTTCAAAGTAGAGGGGGGGAGATGGCGGTGGCTGCTTTGCCAAGCACACACAAGACCCAAGCCTAAGAAGGGTTTGGGGAGACACAGAGCGGGTCACACTTACCCAGCCCCCTGTCCAGGGTGTCCCCAAAGCTACGAGGCATCCCCATTTCGTTCCTCGGGAAGTCTCTTTCAAACCCGCCTCCGATCGCACGGTCCATTTCTGGAAACGAAGAGCAGTTTTTAGTCCTCTGCCAGGAGAGCGGAAAACACAAAGCCAACAGGCAAATGTAAACGAAGCTTTTCCAGTCTATACCGACTGGCAGTGGCTTCCCAGAGCTTCAGGCGAAGGACATTTTCATCCCTTACTAGAGAAAGTAGGGATTGTTATCGCCATTGTGATAGGAATGTTGAGGTCTTAGATATATGGTAATGTTCATAACCGCACGTACATAGATCGGCACAGGAAGACCGACCTGAAGCCATTTTGATTCCTAAACTGAGCAAATGTTTTCTCTGCAAGGTCAAAGTGGAAAAGCCTCCCATTGTCTTTTCCTGTCTTAAGGGTATGTCTGTGTTTGAACAGGGTGTGAGCCTGTGACCTGGCCCAGGAACTAAGTATTTATCACTACAAAAGACTGGCCAAGCTCCCCAGGCAATCCAATCAAGTAACCTGCCAGACAGGAGATAAACAAGGACAAGAGAAAAACAACATTTAAATTTCTGTTTTAGACCGCCTTTTCTGTGATGTAGGTATGATATAACTGGGGGGGGGGTGGTCTTAGATTAGACCGTATGATGTTTCTGGGTCCTCCTCCTTTCCTGTGTGTGAGGGAAGCACCCTGTCGCAACAGATGAATACCCATAGGGAAATTCATCTTGCGGAACGACTCAAAAAACGGAAAACCCTTTCGTCTAGCGAGTTTTTCGTCTTGCGAGTTTTTCGTCTTGCGGGCCACCACTGTAAAGATCAGGCTTACTAGCTGCCTTGCTTCTCAATATTCTCTGGTTGGCCTCTGTTATTCTCTCCTACCAATAGGGAACCTATGTAAGGACTCTATATGGGCTCTTGGGTACCCCATAAGGGAAAAGGGCATTCTGCACCCGCTGGAGTGCAGAAACTCAATGTCCATGAGTCACAGCCCATCAGTATTGGAGGGCCGCCCCCAAAAGGTCCCTCATATCCCTGTCAAGACTAAGTGAGGGAGAGACGATCAGAATCAAAGGTTTAAAGAACCTCAGAATCAATACTCTGAAAATCTGGTGGGTTTCAGCACCGTTCTCCTTCTTCCCAAGCCCTATTAAGCGCAAAGCAGTTTATGAAGATTAGCAATCTTTTGTCTCACCGCTCATCCTGCCCAGGTTCATCCCAGAAGGGAAGCGGCCCAGGTTCTCCATTCCGCTGAAAGGCCCTTCCATCCCTGAATAACAACAAGAAAAGCAACAATGATCAAGTTCCCAATCCCTCCTGCCTTGCCAGCTAACCCATCTGTGGGATTTGAGAGGGCACCAGGCTCAGATTTCAAGAGCTCCAATGGCACCTTTATTTTCAGACATTAGCGGTATGTAAGGCTTGGGACGCGGGTGGCGCTGTGGGTTAAACCACAGAGCCTAGGACTTGCCGATCAGAAGGTCGGCGGTTTGAATCTCCGCGACAGGGTGAGCTCCCGTTGCTCGGTCCCTGCTCCTGCCAACCTAGCAGTTCGAAAGCACGTCAAAGTGCAACTAGATAAATAGGTACCACTCCAGCGGGAAGGTAAATGGCGTTTCCGTGCGCTGCTCTGGTTCGCCAAAAGCGGCTTGGTCATGCTGGCCACATGACCCGGAAGCTGCACGCCGGCTCCCTCGGCCAATAAAGCGAGATGAGCACCGCAACCCCAGAGTCGGTCACGACTGGACCTAATGGTCAGGGGTCCCTTTACCTAAGGCTTGGGACTTTTGAGCTTTCCATCAGGTCAAGCCAACCACTGTCTGACCTACTCTGGAATTGCAGCGTATGAAGTGTTGCAGAGACGGCCTGGGAATATGCACGGCAGAGGTACCTGCTTTGAGGTGAGGGTTGCATTAAGTATCACCAGGACCCCACTGCAATCCTGCCCCCATACACCAGTTCCTGCCCCCGTTCCCCCACTTACCTCCCATTTTGTTCATTCCAAAGCCCAAGCCTTCTATGCCCATTCCTAAAAGAGAACAGACAAGACGAGTGGAAATTATAATAATAGTAATTTATTATATATACCCCGCCCATCTGGCCGAGTTAAAAACTTCCCTGAACAGGGCTCCCTTCAGATGTCTTTTGAAGATAGGACAGCTGCTTATTTCCTTCACATCTGAAGGGAGGGCCATCCACAGGGCGGGCGCCACTACCGAGAAGGCCCTCTGCCTGGTTCCCTGTAACCTCACTTCTCGCAGGGAGGGAACCGCCAGAAGGCCCTCGGCGCTGGATCTCAGTGTCGGGGCTGAACGATGGGGTTGGAGACGCTCCTTCAGGTCTACTGGGCCTTTGAGGCCGTTTAGGGCTTTCAAGGTCAGCACCAACACTTTGAATGGTGCTCGGAAACGTACTGGGAGCCAATGCAGATCTCTCAGGACCAGTGTTATGTGGTCCCGGCGGCCACTCCCAGTCCCCAGTCTAGCTGCTGCATTCTGGATTAATTGCAGTTTCCGGGTCACCTTCAAAGGTAGCCCCATGTAGAGCGCATTGCAGTAGTCCAAGCGGGAGATAACTAGAGCATGCACCACTCTGGCCAGACAGTCCGCAGACAGGGAGGGTCTCAGCCTGCGTACCAGATGGAGCTGGTAGACAGCCGCCCTGGACACAGAATTAAATTAGAACCTATGACAGCGTTAAGATTTGGAGGACTGATCCGCCTGAGCTGGCATTGTCTGCCATGGTGGGCAGCAGCTTCCTAAGGTTCCAGACACAGAGAACAGTCTTTCCCCGCTACACAATCCTTTCACTGGAGATTGGAGATATAGGCCAAAAGCCGCCTTCCCTAGTCTAGCATCCCGTTTCTCGCTGATTATTCTTGGAAAGAGGACATGAGGATTAACAGTCGCTGGGGCAACCCAGTCAGATGAGCAGGGATAAAAATTATAAAATTATTGTTATTAGCGTTATCAGTGGCTGGGATTCAGGGGCAGACTGCCTCTTGCTCCTGCAGGCTGAGTCACCATGCCAAGCAGTCACAGATAACTCTTCTCCACAATGCGTGGGGTCTCCCTTCTCTTTTAAAGGGAAGGGCTATTGCCACTCCCGTGGGCGTGGATTATCTAAGTGCCGTGTGAAGGAAATCAAAATCATTTCCAGCGTATTACCGGACAGCAGGGACACAGATGGTCGCTTGCTCTCGATTTAGGCTGAGGCACCCTCTTTACTCCTGAGAGATAAAACTTCATTTGGGAGAAACAAGGCGGCGCCGACAGTTCGCAAAAAAGAGACAGAGCTTTCGGCTCCGTCAGCCTTCTGCCATATCAGATGATGCTGGACAGCTCCCTTTGACCCTTTACACTGGCTGTACTGGCTAGGTCTGGTAGGAGCTGAGAGTCTAAACACACCTCAAAGGCCAGCTTTCCCCTATATCTGCCATATATCTTTAAAGCCCTAAACGGCCTCAGTCCTCTATACCTGAAGGAGCGTCTCCACTCCCAGCGTTCTGCCCGGACACTGAGGTCCAGTGCCGAGGGCCTTCTGGCGGTTCCCTCCCTGCAAGAAGTGAGGTTACAGGGAGCCAGGCAGAGGGCCTTCTCAGTGGTGGCGCCTGCCCTGGGGAACGCCCTCCCACCAGATGTCAAAGAGAACAACAACTACCAGACTTTTAGAAGACATCTTAAGGCAGCCCTGTTCAGGGAAATTTTTAATGTGTGGTATTTTAATGTATTTTTGGTTTCTATGGAAGCCGCCCAGAGTGGCTGGGGAAACCCAGCCAGATAGGCGGGGTATACATAATAAATTATTATTATTATTAGAGCAGATTTAGCCGAATAGGGTGCTCTTCAGATGCTGCTGGATTATCGTCCAAAACCACTTTGAAGCCCATATCGTGATATCGGTTTCATAATCTTTGACCTGGCAATAGACCACGAAACATGATGCGTGTGTGATGCAAAAATCACAACGTGGGGAAAACCGTGAAGCCAGCCAATGGCTCTACACAGCTCCACCCTTATTTCAGACATTGCGATGTATCGGTGTATCGCGATGTTTAGCTGGCGATATATCACAAAGTTTGAAAACCAGCTCCATCCTTGTTTCAGACACCGGGATAGACCAGCACAGAAATCATGAGATCCAGAAACATGGCAGAATGCTAGGGGAGACTGCAAAGGAAAGAGCCCGGCCCCAGTTCCTTGCTCACCTCCGGGTCCCAGGTTGCCCATACCCAAACCCTTGTTCAAATGGTTTGCATCAATAGGTATTCCTCCTGGCCCCAGTCCCATGCCAATGCCTCCAAGTCCATCTGCAAAAGAAGAGAGGTTCAAAAACCAGCCATCAGTATCAGTGTGCATTCACCCCCTGCCTGGAATGAGAAGCCACGCTAGCTCCCTCCTTGCTGCCCTTCCGTTGTCAAATGGAAACCTGGTTCCAATGGGCTTTGGTAACTGACCGCTTTAAATGAAACGGCTGGTGCTGTGCTGTTTTTCTTGTAACTACTGGTGTGTTTTAAACAGTTTTTATACGTATATATAGCTTTAGTTCCCCTTCATGGATCACTGCCTTGTCGTGGCGAAGGGGCTTGAATAACTCAGAGAAGTGATGAAGAAGAAGAAGAAGAAGAAGAAGAAGAAGAAGAAGAGGAGGAGGAGGAGGAGGAGTTTGGATGTGATATCCCACTTTATCACCACCCTAAGGAGTCTCAAAGCGGCTAACATTCTCCTCTCCCTTCCTCCCCCACAACAAACACTCTGTGAGGTGAGTGGGGCTGAGAGACTTCTCTGAAGTGTGACTGGCCCAAGGTCACCCAGGAGCTGCATGTGGAGGAGCGGGGAAGCGAACCCGGTTCACCAGATTACGAGACTACCGCTCTTAACCACTACACCACACTGGCTCTCCATGAGCTATGACATGCAGGGCCACCCAAGATGGACAGGTCATAGCCGTGAGTTTAGACTAGACGTGATCCACCTGGAGAAGGAACTGGCAAACCGCTCCAGTATTTTGCCAAGACATAAAAAAAGGAGCAGCTTTGAGAAGTGTGAGTTTCCAAGGCATGCTCTGGTTCATGGGGTCATGGAGAGTCTAACACGACTAAGACAACTAAACAACATAGCTTTAGTTGGTTTTATATTCGTTTTCCCACATTTTAAGTCAGTTTTAAGCCATTGCAGGATATTCATAAGTGGGGTTTTCGCTGAGCTCATGGCAGAAGCTCCGATGTACACCGTGCCAGAAATGGAGGGGAGAGATTAGGAATCTGGAACAAGACTGGGAGGCAGCAAGGAGGAGGAAGACTCAAGGAAAAGAGTCGTGGGGGGCAGAAAGAGAGAGATGCAGGAAGATACGGTCTGCAAGTTAATTAAAGGACAGCCCCCCAGGACTCCCCTGACCATACCTCAAGTCTCCACAGGGTGCCACGGCACACTGGTTGACAACCAATGTCGCATACTAATTTTAAAGTGCGAAGACAGCACAGCCCACTGACCATGAGAATTTAACTTTTTACGGTGGAAAATAGCAGGAGAGCAAGCAAATTTCCCCAATGACAAGAACACACTCTTCCACAGGGCAGGTGTGCGAGCTACTTCCCATGTGGTGTAACACAGCCATTTCCTGTGTAACCTTTTCTGGAGATACTTACGAGGAAGCTGCTGGGGCCGCTCCGGAGGGAAGAAGTCCCCTTTCGGCAAGGCTCGCTCGTCCTGAAATATCAGATGCAAAGATCAATACAAAGCCGAACGCAGCGGAAGCCTGCTGTAGCATTCGATTTTGCACACAACTGTGGGACGCCCTCCCACCAAATAAAACCATAAACAGGCTTTTGAAGGCGGCCCTGCATAGTGAAGCTTTAAATGCATGGGTAGGCAAACTAAGGCCCGGATCCAGCCCAATCGCCTTCTAAATCCGGCCCACAGACGGTCGGGTAATGGGCGTGTTTTTACGTGAATAGAATGTGTCCTTTTATTTAAAATGGATCTCTGGGTTATTTGTGTGGCATAGGAATTCGGTCACACACACACACACACCCCAAAAATTATACCACATTTTTTGCTCTGCAAGAGTCACTTTTTCCCTCCTAAAAAGGAAGGGGAAATGTGTGTGTGTCTTATGGAGCGAATGCAGGCTGCGCAGCTATGCCAGAAGCCAGAACAGGAAGAGGGATTGCTGCTTTCGCTGCGCAATAGTTTGCTGACCCCTGCTTTAACGTTTGATTTTTTTCTACTTTGGTGGATTGTAGAGCTGGGCGACACACATTGTCCAAAACCCATTTGTGAAGTCCGTACTGTGATATCGGTTTCATAATTTTTGATCTGGCAATACATTGCGAATCGTGGGGTGCGCGCGCACATGCGTGCTAAACACAAATCACGACGCACCAAAAACAACAACAACGTGAAGCCAATGCCTCTAACAAGTTCCATCCTTATTTCAGACATTGTTATGTATCAATATATTGCGATGCTTATAAGGGACGCAGGTGGCGCTGTGGGTAAAAGCCTCAGCGCCTAGGGCTTGCCGATCGAAAGGTCGGCGGTTCGAATCCCCGCGGCGGGGTGCGCTCCCGCTGCTCGGTCCCAGCGCCTGCCAACCTAGCAGTTCGAAAGCACCCCCGGGTGCAAGTAGATAAATAGGGACCGCTTACTGGCGGGAAGGTAAACGGCGTTTCCGTGTGCTGCGTTGGCTCGCCAGATGCAGCTTTGTCACGCTGGCCACATGACCCGGAAGTGTCTCCGGACAGCGCTGGCCCCTGGCCTCTTAAGTGAGATGGGCGCACAACCCCAGAGTCTGTCAAGACTGGCCCATATGGGCAGGGGTACCTTTACCTTTTATTGCGATGCTTAGCTGGTGAAATATTGCAATGTTGAAAGCCAGTATCACCCAGCCCTAGCTGGAAGCTGCTGAGAGTGTCTGGGGCGTATACATTATATGCACGGCATATAAACATTATTGTTATTCTACTTACCATCTTCACATGCATCGGTCTGTCAAACAGCAGCTGCCCATTGAACATGGCTGTGATTTGGGTCAAGGAGCGTACGTCGTGGATTAGCCTGAAAAAGCCCCGAAGATATGGCCCCTGCAAGCACCTGACAGCTTTTTGTTTAGTCTGACCAGATCCACCTCCTTCTCCAACCGGCAGCTGCCAAAGCGTGACACTCGAACCACGAGTCTATCGGCAGAGGCCATCAACCTTTTGGGGCCCATGGGCATATTCAGAGCGCTGAGGTTCTCTAGGCGCTTTTCTCCTACATTCCTCACCCCCATCTATACTGTTCCAGGTCTGGGTCAAAGTCAGAGCCGCTGGAATCAAAAATGAATGCTCTTGAATTTGCATGACGGGGCTCCCAAAAAACCACCATCAAATTAAAGCTTACACCAGAAGATTGCACTGTTTTTTAAAGAAAGAAAAATACAGACTGATGCATGTCTGCACCATTAAAGTTCCAATTTTATGGAAGTGCCTTCAGGCTGAATTCAGACAGGTGCCCGGTGGAGACTTTTTAATTTTCAGCAGATGTTTCAAGCCTTTCTGGTTAATTTTAAGTTTCTCTTTAGTAACACCACAGCGCACAGCTTAGAAACGATGGTGTTAAGGGGCATGTAGAAATAAATAAACGGAACCACCAATAATCACCGAAGACATCTATGGACACAGAAGTGACCCTTGATTTGTTGGGTGATTTTGAGAGCACCTTTTGAAAAAAAATAATGGGTATCTGTGTCTCATGTCATGTTTTTGCACCACAACAATAATCTGATTATGATTGTTCAGAAAACAGAGGCATAGAATTTCATGGTGGGGTGGTGTAAAGACTGAAAAAATATGAAATTTTAAATTTCACCTAACTCTTCCTCAGTACTTCAGCCACAGGTGGAGGGTCACATGGCAAAATCCTGAACCAAGTTTAAAAAGATTCCCTGCATGTAGAAAGCTAGCATGCCGGCGGAGGTTCTAGCCGAGAGATGGAGAACTTGTGGCCTGCCAGGTATTATCAAATTTCAACTCTCATCAGCCTCTAGGGGTCAGGGATGATGGAAGGGTACTTCTGGAGGGTTACAGATTCCCCTACCCCATAGCTAACCTCAGCTTCTCATTGACATTAGTTTTTTTCTACATAGAGGAGATTGTGAGGTCCCCCCCCCACGCACAACAACAGTGAACAGTGTGAGCCCCAAACAGCCAGTCCAAAAACAGATTCCCACCTCAAATGCTGTTTGTATGAACTAGCCCTTAGATCAGGGCTTCCCAAACCCGTGTCCCCAGCTGTTTCTGGACTACAACTCCCATCATCCCTAGCTAGCAGGACCAGTGGTCAAGAATGATGGGAGCTGTAGTCCAAAAACAGCTGGGGACCCAAGTTTGAAAAACCCAGCTTGGTTAAGGTTGGGACACAGAGTTGAACCACCAGCACTTCCAACAAAAAGCCCATAGAGTATTCCCTGGGTGTACGTGCAGGAATTCTGCAACTTGTGCCCTCCTCGGCTATCACCCTTCCCAACCCCAGGCTCAGAGAAAGATACAAATGGCCTGAACAGCTTCAATAGCCTGCTCAAAAGTCACTGTGCCGATGCCCCGGCTCTTCCCGTCTTTGTCTTCCAGGATGTCTGCCCGGACCACTACGCCAGCCATGCTGAACACCTCCTTCAGCTTCTTCCAGCCCACTTTGTAATCCAGCTGAAGGAGGCGAGGGAGAACGGTTAGTGCTTGTACGAAAATGTATTTTGCAAAGAACAGATTGCATCGGGCGAAAAGGAAATGTAATGTAATGTAACAGCTGCAAATCTTGCAACTCCAATTGAGGTCACAGAAATGCTGAATGTGTTGCCTTGACCGTTTGTCAACTCCCTGTAAAAGTGAGCATCTGTGTCTCTGAGGTAGTGATAGGGGTGGGGGCTGGCTGGTTGTTTTGCCGTTGTTTTGTTGAGCATGGAGACGCTGTGTCCGGAAGGAGTTGGTGAGGACAGAGAAGCTATAATTTATGGACTGCTTCAAAGGAGTTTTAGAAGAAGCAAGAAGACCCTCTCTTGGGCTCAAGGGAGAGAAACACATTGTACAGTGGTACCAGCGGCTGCGAACAGGATCCGTTCCGGAGGTCCGGCCGCATCCTGAGGAATTTGCAACTGGAGGTGCCATTTCTGTGCATGCGTGTGGTGTGTAGAACACTTCTGCGCATGCGGCAAAACCCGGAATTTGCTGCGTATGCAACCAGAGGTGTGCGCATCTAGAGGTACTACTGTATTAGACTTGATATGCATAAATACTACAGCTCGTTAATAGTCGCCATCCTGCAAGCAAAGCGTCATCCTCAGAGTCTTGTGTGTGGCGTCTACTTCATCGCTAGGGCTTCGAGGGTGAAACCGCTGCATCGCTCTGCACGACCCAGAAGAATAGCTAACAAGAACACAGTGCTTAAGCGACAGAAGAGTGACCTTTAAGGTGAAAAGCCAACAAAGCACAGATAGGACTAAGAGTTGTATCTCAGTATCAAGAGCTGGGTTTTCACTATCATTCAGAAATATCTCTGAGCAGAATCAACCACAACACAGCATACAAAAGAAGCTCAGCTGTGTTAAAACCACCCACAAGACCTGTTTCACATAAAGCAGGCATAGGCAAACTCTGGTCCTCCAGATGTTTGGGACTACAATTCCCATCATCCCTGACCCGGTACCGGTCCTGTTAGCTAGGGATGATGGGAATTGTAGTCCCAAACATCTGGAGGGCCAGAGTTTGCCTATGCCTGACATAAAGGAACAGCTCTCAAGCGGCATTTTTACTGCATTAAATTAAGAGCTGACCAAGCTAAAAGTTAACCCGTTAGCTGGAAGAGTCCCCTGGGCACAAAATTAAGACACACCTTCCCACGCCTCACCCTGCCTTTTATATGGAGTGGACAATGGTGCTTTTGAGAATCAGAAGAGCTCTCTGTTCCCACACTTTGTCGTGGTGATATATTATTGTTAACAAGGGGACCCTGATGTATCCCTTTCCAACATACTCCATTCCTTCCCCCCTGTCAGTCAGAATGCCATTAGGTTTCTCTCTCTCTCTCTCCCCCTCTGATCTGTTTTCCCTAAAGGCATTTTCTACTTTGCAAAGCCAGGGATCTCAAACAGTGGGTGGTGCTGTTTTGGAGACATAAGGATCCAAACATGAAAAAGGGGGAAAGAAGACGACGACTGGTAGGATTAAATAGTTCGCTTGCTTTTTCCTCTATCCTCCCCATCTCTTCTTTCTTTTAGGGAGGGGTGGGGATTGCCATGCTCCCACATCTCTGTACATCACTTAGCAAATGCTAGATGCTTTAAAAAAAACAACACCTATCAGTAGGGGTGTGGAGGTTCAGTGCAAGACCTCTAACGACCCTCACCATCACACTGCCTTTTGGGCATGAAGGAAAGCAGAAGGGATAAGAAAATACACTCAAAATATCCACACTCAAAATATCCTGCTTCATACAGGCAAAGGCATGTTAAGATGTTCAGCTGCCCTGACGCCAGTGCTAGAACCTTTCCCAAGCAAATTCAAGATGCAAAAATTTCAAGAAGCTGCAAAACCACCAGGCTCCTTAAGGGACAACACAGATGACACAGTGCACGAGCAAAGGCAAGACAAAGGGGCCACTCACATTGGCCACAAAGACCGTGCTCCCAAGCCTGCCTGCCTGCAGGGCATGAATGATCTCGTTGGGGATGTTTGGGTTATTGAGGATGCTGGGAGGGATGTTGATCATCCCGGGGCCGCCGGGGCCAGGGCCGATCCCCATCCCGCCACCAGATGCAGCCATGGCCTTCTGTACGGCTCTCCTCACATGCTCTCCATCAGGATCCTAGGACAGAAAAAGTGGGGAAAGGTTTAAGAAAGCTCTCATCCTGCAGAGCAGCCGGAAAGCCAACTGTCTAAGAAAGCTAGAGATCAGGGAAGCATTCGCGCTCAACCTTCATGCTGGTAGGATGACTTCCGATGTAGGCAAGAGCAGTGAATCATGTGAGACCTGGAAGGGGAAAGTGATGCAGCCCAGACACAGGTTGCTCAGCCCTGTGGTATAGTGGTTAAGAGCAGTAGACTCGTAATCTGGGGAAGCGGGTTCGTGTCTCCGCTCCTCCACCTGCAGCTGCTGGGTGACCTTGGGCCAGTCACACTTCTCTGAAGTCTCTCAGCCCCACTCACCTCACATAGTGTTTGTTGTGGGGGAGGAAGGGAAAGGAGAATGTTAGCCGCTTTGAGACTCCTTAAAGGGAGTGAAAGGCGGGATATCAAATCCAAACTCTTCTTCTTCTAATCTGGGGAACCGGGTTCGTGTCTCTGCTCCTCCACATGCAGCTGCTGGGTGACCTTGGGCCAGTCACACTTCTCTGAAGTCTCTCAGCCTCACTCACCTCACAGGGTGTTTGTTGTGGGGGAGGAAGGGAAAGGAGATTGTTAGCCGCTTTGAGACTCCTTAAAGGTAAAGGTACCCCTGCCCGTACGGGCCAGTCGTGTCCGACTCTAGGGTTGTGCGCCCATCTCACTCAAGAGGCCGGGGGCCAGCGCTGTCCGGAGATACTTCCGGGTCACGTGGCCAGCGTGACATCGCTGCTCTGGCGAGCCAGAGCCGCACACGGAAACACCGTTTACCTTCCCGCTGGTAAGCGGTCCCTATTTATCTACTTGCACCCGGGGGTGCTTTCGAACTGCTAGGTTGGCAGGCGCTGGGACCGAGCGGCGGGAGCGCACCCCGCCGCGGGGATTCGAACCGCCGACCTTTCGATCGGCAAGCCCTAGGCGCTGAGGCTTTTACCCACAGCGCCACCCGCGTCCCTTAGGATAGACTCCTTAGGGTAGTGATAAAGCGGGATATCAAATCCAAACTCTTCTTCTTCTTCCTTATGAGAACTATCCTGTGGCACTGGAATTCTTTTTGGGGGGAGGGCCCTCCACTACACTGTCTTATGGAAGCGAGCCAGGGCAGGGGGAGAGACAGGCAGCCGCAGCCTCCACAGGCTCACCTCCTTCACTTTCAAGGGCCGGCCGCTGAGGCTGTGCTTGTTGAGAGCCTCCACAGCCTTCTTCATGCTCTCTTCCATCTTGAACTCGACAACACTGCAGGGGGGAAAGGAAAAAAAGAAACCCAGAGAGAATCACAAAGGGCTCCCGGATGTCACCCACGCCCCCTGCTACAACAAGGTGGTTCAATAAGGTGGTTCCGCTACTTACGCACATCCCTTTCGACGTGGAAATTTCATGTCAGGCAGGGAGGAGCAGAGCGCAGAGCAGGAAGGAAAAGGAACAGGTTAGTAAAGAGCCAGATGAGCTTAAGATATTCAAAAAGGATACTTGTTTGTCTTTACAGTCGTTAAGGTCAAGATTTTGCTGTTTTAGCAAGCGGCAGAACTATTTGCCTGCATCCTAGAAGCTACATGTGGCTAGGGCTGACGCAAAAGGAGTAATGATATGCAGACAAGACTCCCAACCTCTCTCAGAGACGTCGCTCTTCGAGCTCCTACTTGCCTCTAGGACATCCAACCTCTAGCTACTCTACCCCCAAAAGAAATCAGCCTTCAGGGAAGAGTCTGAAACTACCTTCCACTGAACTGAAAAGCAATGGACGCCTGCAACAGCTATCTTCGTTTTTTTACATTTAGACACAGACTGCCATGGAGTCCTGACATTTATGCAACCTCTCTCTTCGACACCGAGCTTACAAAGGTCAGCAACGAGAACCACGAGAAACATTTAGGCTAAGGATTTGGACGTTCATGTACCAGTAAAGAAAGTACACAAGGACCCATGCGTAAGTCATACAGCCAAACATCAAAGGAGGGCAGCAGAGGGTTGCTGCTGCGTCTAACACGCCCCATGTCCACCTCCACCCCCCCACACACACACCAAGCAGCTTCGGGGCAGCGCCGACGATAAAACCACACACACTAGGCATCCCAAGTTCATTTGGTTCCACGCCGTTAACAGTTACATTATTCATTTTTTTAATCATCATTTTTTTTGGTCATGTAGTAAAAATCCAGGGAAGAAATTCTCTCGGAGACTTACCCTTGACTTTCCTTCAGCGTCCATTAAGAGCTCCACGTATGTTACCTCACCAACTACAAATGAGATTCCAGACGGTACATAGACCAAGGGAGAAAGCCAAGAAAACAAGGGGGATTTAGAACAATCGTCAACAACCTTTATATGGAGCCTTTGCCTTATTAAAAGCCCAGGAACACTCCACATTTGCTAGTCCACCGCAACTTGGCGTGACAGGGGTGTGATACGTATCAAACCAGAGTCAAAGACATATCCTTGATTTCCTCGCACTAGGTTACCATGGGCCTTTCAGTTTCCCTCAGGCTTTGATGCCCGTTCATCTCTGGGGACCGAGACAAGAGATGGAAACCTCGCATGGGGTATTGTCGCCCTCTTTAGCCAAACCCTCGAAACTAATTACAGTGGTACCTCGCAAGACGAATGCCTCGCAAGACGGAAAACTCGCTAGACGAAAGGGTTTTGGTTTTTTGAGCTGCTTCGCAAGACGATTTTCCCTATGGGCTTGCTTCGCATGACGGAAACGTCTTGCAAGTTTGCTTCCTTTTTCTTAACACCGTTAATACAGTTGCGACTTGACTTCGAGGAGCAACTCATAGCACGCGGTGTGGTAGCCTTTTTTGAGGTTTTTGAAGACTTTGGTGGTTTTTGAAGCTTTTCCAAAACTTTCCCGACACCGTGCTTCGCAAGACGGAAAAAAATCGCAAGACGTCAAAACTCGCGGAACGAATTAATTTCGTCTTGCGAGGCACCACTGTAACGCTTAAGAATATTAAGAAGGGTCCTGCTGGATATAGTCGAGCACCCAGTTCCCAGGGAGGCCAACCAGACAGATGCCTATGGAAGGCACACAAACAGAGCCACTCTCCCCACAATAGTGGAGGCAGCCTTCAGGGTTATCGTACCTGTTGGCAGCCTGATCCTCCGTTAACTTGTCTAATCCTCCTTTAAAGGCACCCAAGTCAGTGGCAATCACTGCCTCTTGCAGGAGGAAATTTAATAGCTTAACCATGTGTGGGGAAGCCCTTTCTTTTGTCTGTCCTGAAATCGTCCCACATTAAGCTTCACTGGATTACTCCTAGTTTTAGTGTTATGAGATAGGGAGAAAATGTTTTCTCTATCCATTTTCTCTGCACAATGCATCATTTTAGATGTTCTATCTTGCCCCCCAACTTGCCTTTTCTCTATATTGGAAAGCCCCTTCCTCATAGGGGAGTTTAGAGTCTATTTAACAGAAGACCAGGTTGGTTTTTTCTACTCCCAAGTTGCCCCTGAAAAAAAATTCAGGATTCTATTTATGCCATGTGGCTCCTGTCTGCCTTGCTTCAAAAACTTGAATTTACAGGCATCTCTTACTTTTCCTCAAAGGAGCTACAGATAGTGCAAAAGGGTTTGCACTTCAACCTGACTCCTCTCATGCAACTAGTACAACACACTAGCCCTTCCCACTTCCACATTTCCTTCTCCTCAGTGACCAGATGCGAGTTTTACAATGCAGATTTTGCTTTGCGCCTCTTTTCAGCAATCGAAAAACCTGCAATTCTGGTTTCCGCCATTTGCTGCTGCTCCCCAAGTCTGGGTTAAAATAAGCGTCGTGGGGGGGCGGAGGCAAATACTACACTTTACGCTAGAAAGCATGTGATCTACTTAAATTATCGGGCTGAACTTCACAGCCCAAAACCCATTCCTCCCAAACACTGTCCTAAGAGAGAGGCTTGAAGCAGGTCCCATCCCACAAGGGGTCTTAAGTCCAGACCACATCACTTTGCCAAAGCTCTTCTGAGTCAACACTGGGTCAGCGTTTGAAAGCAGCCAGGCGACAGTCGCATTTTGCAGCTGGCAAGAGGCCTTTTGCGACTGAATGGAGATGTCCAGGCACCACTTTTGGTACGTTGGATCTCCACCTGCCTGTCCTGGTGAATAATCCAGTTCCCAGGAGCCACATGGCTCCCCAGATTTTTTATCCCGTTGCTCTGTGTACTGATTTAGGTGGAGGAATATCAAGAACACTGGCATAAAGTTAAATAATTTAAAAAAAGGATAACGTACCACACACCTGTAACGTCAAGTTTCACCAACAAGTGATAAAACTGAAATGACTTCACCGAGAGGAGGACACCATTAAAAACATTTCAAAGAGAGGCATCCACAACACACCAGGTGAGATCTGAACAGACCACAACACTTAAAAGTCTTCTAAACCATACTTACTGGCACCAAAGATGCCTCTGGAGAGTTACTGTTATTAAGGGCTTTATACATCCCACGGTTGTCGAGTGATGGAGCAGCAGTCTGTCACCTCAGTTTAGCTGCTGCTCCTAAACCTGAAGGCCCTGTAATTATTACATACAAAAACCCAGAATGCTAACTGTTTTTAGAGCCGCATTCCTAGTTCTTGGAACTATGGTGACTTGCATCGAGAGTAATTAATTTGGACTGCCTTAAGCAATCGTTTTTGGTGAATGGGGCTGGGGGGGGGGGAGCGGCTTTAAGCGATGCCAGATTAATCAACTCTGGGCTGCAGTCACAAAACCCAAGAACGCTCTCGTCTGTACATAACACACTAAGCTATCTGCAGAGAGAACGAAGAGGATTTCTCTTTTTTTCCTCCCGGGGTCACCTGCCAGGATAAGCGGCTGAGCAGAGCAACAAGAGGAAAAGCGGTCCCACGTTAAGATTTTGGCATCCACGCGAGCTGAAGGAAAAGGCCGAAACACACAAGCTCAGCGCAGGGCTTTGCAGTGGGACACATCTATGAACACACACGTTCCTATTCGCCAATATTTCACGCACGGCGTAGATCAGTAACTGTCACGTTCCAAAGCGGCGTTCCATTCAATGTAACGAAACCGTAGCTGGAAGGAGGGACTGGACAGTTAGCCTGTGAATCCACCATCTGTTGAAAGCTACTGAGATCTCTGGGGCTACCAACACGCACCACTCTGAGTGCTGACATGTTACGTGTGAAAGGGCCACACAGCCCTTAACGGGGTTGGGCGTGTAATCCCCATCTGCCTCAAGGGAGCTCTCTGCACTTCCTTAGGCTCCTAAGCACGTTAGCCATCGTTC